TTTTTTCTCTTGGCCTTGTGCGTAATTATTTGTGGTTCTGTGAGAGAAGTGTTCGTTGCACTAATTTAATTATGGCTCAGATTGGATGGACGTCTGACATGTATTTTAAGCGTTTTCCGAAAGCACGGTGAAACAAAAAAAATTGGATGAAAAATTTTTTTGCATCCTCTCCACGTGTAGCTGCCGAATATACAACGATTATGGCTTGAGGAAGTGTACATATGACACTGAAAAAAATTCGAGTAAGCATCATTCTCGTCATTTGTTGTTTCCACATTGACAAACGAGTTCTAACAGGTTGTTGCCGATTACGAGTGACAAAACGAATATTTTGATATGTTAACAACTCAAAAATGATTAGAATACAAAAAGGAAAAACAACAGCAAGCATGGAAGCAAGAAAATAATTCGCCATCTGTTCAAATAAACAACTGGTAAGCAAACAGCTGTAAGTAGATGGTACCAGATCACAATAGATGAGAAAAGGAAGAGGAATGAGACAACGAGCTATTCGAAATGCTCTCAATTAGCGGATGCGAGCTAATCGAGATGTACATGCCCACCGATCGTATGCAGCTAAACAGAGAAAATTGTTAGTATAGTTTGAAGAAACATAATTAACAAGGTACTCACATCTTCGAGCGATTGACCAACAACATAATAGCTAGCAAGAAATTGTTGAAATGTTTTTATACCCATAAAAATAATAGCATTCAACAAGACTACCGAAGCTCCAATAGAAAAGAGTAAAATTGGACCATAATAAAATAGTCGAAGAGTTGCTTGAAGGACACACATTCTTCTCTTTCTATTTATTTTTCCAGCTGAAATGAATCCCCTCACATTATTTTCTTTCGTTTTTATAGGGTAACTCAAGTGCATTCTCTTCATCTGGCTTTTTTTTTGTCTTCTTAGATATAGAAGCTGTTAGTTCAATCCTTGTGAGTTTAAAATATGAAATACAATAGGGCTCCTTTGCACTGTTAATAAAAACATTTCTGTGTAATGTCTTTTACAGTATTGGTAGTACTGTGTTCTATTACGATCTATGATACTTTATTGATTCCATCATAAATTTGACAGATTCCTCTGTTATAATGTTTATCACATTTATGGTGGAAGCGGACAACTTTCTTATTGTATATTCTAATGTTGATTAACAACCATGATTTACAAAATATCGTTTCTAGACATGTGTACATGTGTCAAAAAACATAAAAATGCTAGCATGTGCAAGCCTAATAGGGGAAAGATAAATGAGTAACTCTCTCTCAAAACAGCATCAAAATGAAAAACGTTTTCGGCGCAATTCTCTGTAGAATAAAAATACGAAACACGATGGAGTCATTTTAACTATGATATTTTTTGTCACATGCCGTGACATGAGATGAGAAGAAACACTTTTCGTTCCTTCTTGACGACACACAACAGGAAGGTTGTGTCTGTTAATTGGTCGGGTAATGAAGACTTTCATTTTCAGCCAGAGCCAGAGCCATGCCAACACCCTGCGCGACAAATAGATCTGGAAGGGAAATCGTTGAGAAATTATTTAGGACGATTCTCGTGGACAATTGGCCATTCTTTGTTGTGAGAAATATCAACTGCAGATACTTTACGTTCGCTCTCATGAGATTCGCATCGACTCATTTTGGATATTTATCGAGAAGTGAAAAAGAAGACAATGACATCATGTTTCATTCGCGCACTATGTGCTGGTATTAGGGAAAAGAGAATCAACAACAGGCAAAAACAAGTCGTATCATGGCGAGCACTGAACGACTGATATTGAATTAGGCAGCTGATTGATGAACAACTAGACTCGACTGGATGTGATTCGTGTGTATGATGTGTTCGCAATCGGTGACTCAAAAAAGAAATTGCTTTTACGATTTCTTTCTGGACCAGCTTTCTCTCTTTTTCTCTGCATAAAATCCACTGCTTAGTTGATGTTGCACTTAACGTTGATCGATATTGCTCTCTCTACGCTTATTTAGCACACGTTCGTTTCCATGAATGTTAGAAATAAAACTCGTTCTATTCATCGGTATTAGGATCAAACGGGAGTCGAAGAAATAAAAAAGAAAATGATGTTCGCTTGATGAGCAGCATATTCATTTCGCATATAAATCGTGCCTTTCGACGATGGATGTTCATCGTCAAAGAGCATGCGTACTCGAACAAAATTCCGTAATTGCCATCCAATAAGACGAGAACATACGGTCAATGCACGTATGCGAGTGAGAAACACGTTTACCCATCAGAGAATGGAGAAGAAAAGTTGTAGCCAATAACAGGGAACGATCGATTCCGACTTTTTTGTTGAGTTTCTACATATTTTTTCGAACAGATTGATAATAAAAGTGCTTTTTTCACAGCTCAAGCACTATTTCTCTGTGGGAACATGCATCACATTATTCTATTAAGTAAAAATTTATCCTAGTACACTCAATACATTTTATCCACTCACTTTGATATCTGGTATGTCATCGAAACAAAGCCGAATATTTATTTAGCATTGTAACTTGTCATAGGTTTATTTGCTATTCTTACGATTTATTGCATATATTTCGCACAGGCATATGAGAGAACAAGACAAATATAACGCGAAAATCAGATAAAGTCTATGGCTAATTAATAATGCCCATGCCTGGCGAACATTTAATTAATGCATAAAACTAATGTAGTATTTGTAGTTCTATCAAGTTTTCTGTCCACGGATAGATGTAAATAAAGAAAAACTTATGCAAATAAATAATGAAAAATGCTATAGTAGGGAAACATGGCTCTGATATCATTGCTGTAGTCATTAAGAAACAGATATAATTTATCGAGCGCTTGATTTCACAGCGATAGGATCGAAAAACTAAACGGAAAACATATTGCGCATTCGAAAAAGAGAGAACCTAATTGGACATTACTGAAAAAATGAGCAAAATGCAAATTTTTATTCCATCGATTACATTGACGTTCTTTTCTCGTATCATTATACTCGTTGTCTTTTTTATTCGTATACAACGGTCCCATTCGGCAGAGTACTTCCATTTAATGATGCAGCATTTGCTAATTGTTCCATTCGGATATTGCTCTGGATAAAATTCGATTCGACTATATAGGCTCCATTGAATTGGACGCCAGAAAAATTCATTCCAACAAAATGACATCGATAGCAAGTAGCTTTGGTAAAATTAACGTCGACCCAGTTGACATCTTCAAAATAGACATCTTCCATGATCATAGTACTCATTTGACATTCGGCTAGACTGGCATGTATAAACATCGATTCTTTAATTGTTGTTTGTTGTAACGTGCATCGAAACAGATTCGTTTCGTAAAAAGAACATCGAATAAATTGCGATCGACTCACATTAACAAAAGTGAAGTCTGTGAGAATGAATTTGCTGTCATCGAAAGTGGTGTCAACCAAATGAGTCTTACTGAAATTAGTATAGACGAATTTCGAATCGGAACGAACGATACTCTCGCTTATATTAGCATTTCCTAGATTAGCCCCGGAAAAGTCACATTCTATACAGCGAAAACGGGATAGTTGTGCGTTGGTCATGAGCGCATTGCGAAACGAAAT